GCACGTAGTCGTCCATGTCGATATCCCCCGGGAGCTCGTCGGCCTCTTCGTCGACTTGGTAGGTATCCTCGTCATCGTGGTCATTCTCGATGAGGCGTTGTAGGTCGTCTCTTGTCGCCCGAATCGCAAAAAAGCCTCCGAGTTCTTCCGGGGAAGCCAGCCTCACGTGCTCCGGCGCGCATAGTTGACAGCGACCTCCTCTAGCGATCCAGTAGTTCTCTTGCTGTCTTCCTATAACAACTCCGGGGCCGCGCCAGGCTCCTTTCTTGTTGTTCTTGTCCTTCCGCCAGTAGAAGGCCATTTCTCCATTGGCGAGGTCTCGTCCGCGAACCCGGGCCCGTTGTAGACTTCCACGACGTAGTTTCTCATCAGCCCGCACCTTGTAGAACGCAATCTTGGCGGCTGCCCTGATTGCATCTCGGCGCCGCTGCGCGTCGTCAGGGGTTCTTGCTATCCATTCTCCATCGTCGATCTCCTGCTCGACGATGTCCTCATCATCCCGCGGGACCTTCCCGAACATGATCTGGCAGGGGGCCCATCCGCATTTGCGCCGTAGGGTGTTCTTCGCCGAGGAGGTGGCGGCAATGGCAATCTCTACCTCGTCGATCTTCTTAAAGATCTCTTTCCACCACTTCCCATGTCTCTCAGCAAAACCGGCTTGCCAGTGTGCTTGACCAGCGCTGGTCTGCAGGTCGATCCGAAACCAGTCACTGAGTCGCGAGAAAGCGTCCTGGATCCCGGTCTCGAGGTCCAGGGAGATCACCTTCGGGGCCCCAAAGATCTGTATCCAATGCTTCAGGAAGACCTTCTCCAGGGTGTCGCCGGTCTGGTTCTGGACCTTGACGACAACGTGGTAGCTCGAAGCACAATCGATCATCGAGAGAAGTTTCTGCTTCTTGCCGGAGATGTCGAAGGCGAAGAAGATATCTACAGCCACCACGTCGTTGAGCTCGAGCAACTTGGGCTCAGAGGCCGGCTTCGGGCTCTTCGGCCCAGCGCATCTTTGGCATGTTTCACAAACCAAGGACCGTGACCCTTTGAGGACTTCTTCGCTGGCACCTGCTAGCCGAAGATGCCTAGTCAGGTCGGCGCTCGAGGGGTGGCCGAGGTTCTGATGCAGGCGCCTGAGGATGATCGCCACATCCTTCTTCACGTCTTTTCCAAAGGTTATTCCGCTTGCTCCTTCGCGAACTGGTCGGTCAAGCACATCCTCCCTTGGATGATCTTCGTTGATCTCGATGTCAAAGCCTGGGCCATCAGCGCTCGTGGAAACCATTGCCTCGTGGTAGGCGGCCTTCCGCACCTTGTAGAAGCGGGTGTCGCCGAAATGATGCTCGGTCACGTTCCCGAGCTCTTGTAGTTTTCGGTAGACGATCTCCTCATGCCGCCCAGATTCCTTTGAGACATCCACCACCAGACTCCCATGTAACAGAACATGTGCTCTGCCACATTCATTGAGGATTTCATGGAACTCATC